TATATATATGTATATATATGTGTAAGCGACTTGATGTCAAATTACACACGTTTTGTCGACTTCTCAGATTTTTTTCATTTTCTGCCGACTTGTAGAATTTGGTACTCAGTTGCAGAATCAAAAGATTTATCTCAAAGGGTGCTTTAGTGGCGAAGTAAGGGCGCTTTAAAGCGTCAATGAAAGCAAAGTTCTTACTAGAAACAGTCAACTTTAGGAGGTTGTATTTTTGCTTATTCAGAGCAGATTTTTTGAGTTTTTTTCTTGAGAACTTTTCTTTTAAATTTTTCAAAAAAGGCAAGTTTTTTAAAGGCAATCTTTTTAAAGCATACTGCAATTAAAAGATAGTACTTTAATAGTAATACGAGTTAAAAAGAGGTTAGTGCTAGACTGCAAAAAATTCAGCCCACGTAGCATTTAGAAGCCTGCGCAAGAATAACGTTCCCTTTTCGACTGAAATAATATATCGAGGTAGGTTTCAATTCAGCTAGTTTATTAATATGTACCTGATTGAAAATTTTTTTGCTGCCGAGCGATTTATTTGAAAATTTTCAGAAAAAAATGTGATATTGCTGGTACTTTTCCAATCCATCCCAGTTTGCTTCCTGACTGGACCATTTGGACTTAAATACTTAAAACTTGGTACTGGCATTTAATAGTGAACACTCTTTTTTTGATGTTTTCTTTCCAGCAGAGTATGGTATAATGCAACAGGATTTTTGTGCGTTTCTGGCAGGTAAGTTTACACAGAGTTATAATGCCCGGAGATCTATTCGTTTTTCATATTCTTCCGTAAATGCGAAGACCACTAGTGGTTATGACAGTGGTTGGTTCAGTCCTCTTTCTACAGACCGCGGGCAATTAAATTTGGCATAAGTGTCTTCTCTATGCTAGCCCTAAGTGTTAAATCTCAGAGTTTGCCTTTTGTGCCACTGCAAGAACTTTTTCCACGCATCATGGAAAAGAAGTATCATCCTCTTGCGACTTCGAAGATTAGAAAGCGAAAAGTTGAGGACGGGAGCTTCTTAAGACCTTTGTACTGTATTTACCCTTGTCAGAAGAGTAGATAGTTCTCTTCAAATTGTACTTCAGTCTTAGAAAGGTTGAAGAGTGCTTTGAGAATGACCCCCGCTGCAAAAACGTTACTAATAAGCATTTTGATAGTAAAACAGGGCTGTAGAAATGTTGGAAGTTGAAGAATTCTATTTATATGAAGTGAAGTGCAGAAATGAACCGCGGCTTACAATTTTTTCCAATGTTTTTCTTGAAAAGCTTCCTGGGCCAGCATATCCAAGTCTCCAGCAAACTTGCAAATTAATGCTCTGCTGAAAAGAAAACAGCAAACAATATTCACCATCAAAAACCAATATGAAGTTTCAAATGTTCAGGTCAAAAGGCTTCATTGAGAAAGCTTAATGATGTAAGTTGAAGGAGTAACAATAGTAACACTTTTTTTTTTCGAAAGATTCCAACCAAGCTACTTAGAGCAAAAAGTTTTTGATTAGATATTTGTTACTGAGCTAGCTAAACTAAAGCCTGCTTCAGTATAACACTTCAGTTGAAAAAGAAACGTTGTCTCCTGCAGAGGCGTCAA